GGAGGGGGGAGGGGGAGGGGAAGGGGAAGGGGCAGGCCACAGGGCTGGAGCGCCAGTGCCAGCTCCCGGATGCTGGGTAGGGCAGCCTCAGGTGCTGGATCTGGCCCCCAGGCTGCTGGTTCTCCACCCCTGCCCTAAAGTACTTGTAGCAACAGTGAACACTGTAGGCACAAGTTTTGGGGATGTAAATTCCACCCATGAAAATGTAGAGGGCCTGAGGCTTGACCATCTGGAAATAACAGAATTAAATTTACAACAATTCTCTCACTTTAATCTAGACCTCATTTGAATTAACATGTAAAACAATTAAGTGCATTTGGTACCATACCTGCTTAGTTACTTAAACTCAAATTCTAGTTTAGAATTTTCATATGAAGGAAAAACACAAATCCTCAGCCCAGGCAGATGGACTAGAAGAGTGGGTCTCAGGGTTTACAGATTACTGTACCCCATTCAGGAGTCTGATTTGTCTTGTTTACCCCAAGTTACACATCACTTAACAACTACTTACTTACAGAATCAAACATAAGAATTAGAAATTACTGAAAAAAACCTGCTTACTTCTCTTTTTACCATTTAAATATAAAATAGATCAATTGGAATATAAATATTGTTCTTACATTTCAGCATATAGATAAAACAGTATAAACAACTCATTGTCTGTACGAAGTTTTGTTTATATTAATTCACTAGTGCTTTTTTATGGATCCTGCTGCAATATGAGGGAAATAGCTAAATAAATTGACATACCTCCACACCACTGTGTACCCACAGGAGTATGCATATTCCTAATTGAGAACTCCTAGATGATTGGATGACCTTAATGTTCTTTCTATCTCTACATTTCTATGATTGCAATGAAATAGATGCAGTTCAGAGTTGCTGTTGTTTACTTACCTCATGGCCTTGCTTCGCTGGTCAGCTGTTATAATGTAGCCTGGTCTTTTTTTCTTACTAGCCTGGGATGCTGATGGTGGCTGTTGTTTCTTTCCTTTTTATATGCATTCTAGCATCATGTGATCAGGGCTGTTCCTCAGCAGTTTAGTGAAGTAAATGGAAACTAGAAAATGAAACCTATGCTCTGTTCTCTGAACAATATAAACAAGTAAAGCTGAACTAATCGCTGCCAGGGAAACTGAAACTTAAGGAACTTGGATCTGTTTCTACTGTTCGCATTTGTTTTCATGCCATTGATTTAACTGCTACAGACTAAGGCAGTAATAGCTCAGAGTGTTCTGGTTGCCCTTCCTAATATAAAAGAATTTAAGTTTCCCCTTTGTTTAAAATATAACCATTAGTGCACAGATGGAGGAAAAATGTGCAGCTAGTGGATCAAACAGACACAAGGCTCAGTGGGAGGGACTGGGAGTCAGTTTCTATTCCTAGGGCTTTGTGTCACTTTCGACAAGTCACTTAGGTTCATATTTTGAAAGAATGTATGAGTTGCTTTGCTCAATGTTGGAAGTCCTGAGTGACTTGGGCAATTAAGTTATATTTTCACAAGTGACTGAAGAACTTAGGGTAGGATTCATAAAGGTATTTAAGAACTTAACTCCTTTTGATTTCAATGGGAGCTTGACACTTACATAAATGTGTGAATCCCAACCATTAGGAGCCTAAAGGTATGATTACACAGCAAAATTAATTAGGAATAACAGCTGTTATTTCAAAATAGCATTATTTCGAAATTATTTTGAAATAACGGATGGCTTATTTTGGCATTGGTAAACCTCATTCTATGCCTCTTTCGAAACAGCTTTTTCAAAATAGGGGAAGTGTAGATAGGGCAGCAGCAGTTATTTTGAAATAAGGGGCCTCCAGCCCTCTCCAAGGTGCCCTCCTGGCTGCTCTCTTTACACTCAGCCAAATGCTGTAGTTCCCTCTCCCCCTGGAGCCCTTAAAGCTGCAGCCTCAGGGGAAAGGGTTTGTGGCACACAGGAAGCCCTGACAGCCCTGAGCCGCACAGCAGCTGCCACTGCCTGGATTTTGACAAAATCTGAGCTGGTCTGCCGATCCCCACCATCCCTCCAATGCTCCCAGGAGCCTGGCGGGGCCCAAAAGAGGTGTGCACCTTCCTGGTCTGGTGCAGAGATCCTGGACCTCATTGAGGTCTGGGGCGAGGAGACAAACCAGACACAGGAATGCAGATATCTATGGCCGGATGGCTGAGAGCCTGGCTGGCTGCAGATGAAAGTGAAGGAGCTCCACCAGGCATATACCAGGACCTGAGAGCACAGCTCCTGCTCTGGGGCAGAACCCCACACCTGCCCCTATTACACGGACTTGGACTGCATCCTGGGGGGCAGGGCAGTCCCTCTCCTCCCCCCTGGAAGTGGACTGGGGGCTTGAGACTCCCATCATCGCCCTCCCGGGGAACAGGGCTGGCCCGAGCCCTTTTGGCGCCCTGGGCCCGGGGTGTGTGGCATTGCCCCCGGGCGCAGGGTGCATGCGCAGGCCCACCTGAGGAGTGCTGGCCTGCCCCCGGGGCTCATGGCACATGCGCTCCCCAGCCTGTCCTGGTCAGTGCTGCTGGTGCGCGCGTCGGGCCATGAAGGGCCCCACAGCCGTGGGGGGAAGGGCGCTGCTGGCCGGCGCCGTGGGGATGCGGGCGGGCTGGTGCTGAGGGAGCCGGGTGCGAGGCTCCTGATGGCAGCTGTAAGGGATGCTGCGCACCCCTTACAGCTGCCATCAGGCGCGCCTCATCGGTTGGCGCCCTGGCTTACCCATGACTCCATCCGGCCCTGCTGGGAAGCAGAGATGAGGAGGAGGAAGAGGAAGAGGAAGAGGAAGAGCCAGACAAGAGGAAGAGCCACCTGGTGCTGAGGGAGCCGGGTGCGAGGCTCCTGATGGCAGCTGTAAGGGATGCTGCGCACCCCTTACAGCTGCCATCAGGCGCGCCTCATCGGTTGGCGCCCTGGCTTACCCATGACTCCATCCGGCCCTGCTGGGAAGCAGAGATGAGGAGGAGGAAGAGGAAGAGGAAGAGGAAGAGCCAGACAAGAGGAAGAGCCACCCTGTGCTCTGGATGTGTCCCAGGCATCATCTGATGCTGGGGAATCCACATCAGGTGAGTGCCATCATGTTCCATATGCACGCAGGGAACGGGAGGCGAAGGGCTGGGTGCACTCCTTGCTCAACCTTTGCAGTCTGGGGATTGCACAGAAGCCTGTGCATGTGGAATGACAGTCCAGGGGGGACGGCCCCAACAAGCTGCACCAGAGGACCCTTGTGCTATTGGCCACAGGGTGTCTGGAGAGGCCTGCCATACTCATGACACTGGGGGGGGGCACCCTCCCTCCACCAGCCACCACTAGAAGGAGGCTGAGGACATGGACACACACACACACCTACACTCTCTCAGCAGTCCTGCACATGGACATGCCCACACCGACGGGGCAGCATGGCAAGGCACAGGAGCATCTGCCACTCACCCCCACCCCCATCCCTGTCTTCCCCCATGGGAAGGGATACAAGTGTTATTTTGTTGCATTTTTTGCGTCTGCATGCTCTCTTTCAAAATAAGCTTTTCTTCCAGAAAAGCTTATTCCTAAAGAAGCTTGCAGTCCAGACATAGCCTTAGAGAGTTTGCTAGGCTGTTTGTTTGCATTTTGTTTCTGTTTCACTTCTGTGGCAGGTGATTTCAGTTACTTATGCCAGTTGGGATTGTGGCACTGTAAGTGTCTGATCTTCTATTCCATTGATTATTTTTGATCAGCCTCGGGATTAGCCTCCCTGTGTGGCTAACAAGGGTTAAGCCTAATCTAGGTGAGCAGGCTTTAAAAGTCAGACGCAGAGTGACCAGGGAAGCGAAGTGGACAGGGAGCTGCAGACAGGGGAGTCTGAAAGGGAGTTTGACAGAGGGAGTCCCAATATGGTTAAGGAAGACCTGCCACACCTGTGCCAGCACTGCTTCTGTTGCCTCTGCCTGTAGCCAGACAGACCACCTGACTATGGATGCCTCTACACCAGTGGTCCCCAATCTTTTCAGGTTGTCGGGCGCCAGGGGGCGTGGCCGTTCGCCCACTGGGCGCCAGGGGGCAGGGACATGTGCGCGCCCGGGGGCGGGGCCCCCACCCTCAAGCGCCGCGCGCCTGGCGCTGGC